TTTCAAAACGAAGAAAATGGCTCGTTTTTTTTCATTTGATCCCTGAAATACCCTTCATGGTCTGGGTTTGGCTTTCCCTATAATTGCTTCCTCTATTCCGACAAAATTTCTCGATTGGGCCCGCTTTGGGCTGGTTTTATGAAATTAAAGAAATTTAATTTGGCATATGATCGCTTTTTGATTGATTATTTTGACTGGGGCAGATCCGTTAATGCCAGGATCAGCACAAATCAAAAAATCATATAACTTTTGAAATAATAAGCGAAAAAATACCACAGTGGCAGGAAAAAAGGACGACCTTACTGCAAAACTAAAATATTCTTTGGATATAAGTTCAGAAAAAAACTGACAATGTAAAACCTGCATCTATCGCTGGTCATTTCTTTTGTGTAATTTTCTGAGAAATTTGCTGAAAATGGCTGGCTGGTGAAGAGATTACCTATTTTTCACTTCAGGTTAAATCACAAAGACTTCGGGGTTAGATATAATTCTTAGTGAAATTTGACAAGGTGTATGGGACAATGAAATGGGTTCAACCCCACAATAGAAAATTAAGGGATATTGGGACTGGCCACGGCAAATGACTGCTGTTTGATTGTCTTTTGGGAGCGTAAGACCGCCGAATGCCGAAATCCTCACGTATCAAAACAGAATATAATAATTGGAAAAAATAAGGGACAAAATACAACGCTAGGTGGAAAAAAAACGAGGTAGAGGTTACTGCAAAACTGAAATATAAATTTGTAGTAAGTTAATAAGTAGGCTGACAGAGGAGAACGCGCATCGAGCGCTGGCTATTCATTTCACATATGTTTTCTGAGAAAGTTGCTTAAACGGCTGTCTGGTCAGGGGATCATATGCTTTGCAATTCCAGTTAATTCACTCAAGCTCCAGAGGTGAAGTATAATTCTGAACAACATTTGACAACGCTTGTAGCGACGACAGAAAGGGTTCAACCTCCATGTAAACGTAAAAAGCTATTGTGACTGGCCGTGGATTATTGAATAGTGCTACATATTTTTCATCTGCTGGATCCTGGATTGAATATTTGGAAATACTACATGAGCGGTCAGCAACATTTATCAGAATTGGCGTATTCCATACGCTGCATAAGCTGAGTGGTAACTTGATAAAGTTTGATTAAAATCATGGCTCTCTGTCTGGTCTCGTAGTCCACGTGGTAAAAGCGGTGGCTGTACTCAAACCTCGCTCTTGCTATTGTGGGTCGGTATCCCCAAACAGTCGCTGGGCTTTTCACAGCATTATCAAATGTATGAATTCGGATTAGGTCAAGGGGACATTTTCAATAAAGCTTACCTCTCAGGATTGCTGAACAGAGATAATCCGTTTGCAAAGATAGTTGTGCTCATCAAGTTATGCATCCACGTTTACCGGGAAGTTTTTAAAGTAAATGTACGCCACGAAAACTTGGTTGTTGGATATGCTAGATTTCATGTAATTAAAGATACTAGTTTAAAAGATTTTAAAAGAAAAGGCGTGACCCGTTATCTAAACCGTTAAAGGACCACGGTGATTATACTGACTGAAGAAATTACTAGTATTTTGATTGTAATATAAATTTGATAGAACAGATTCTTCGGGAAAAAGGAACAAACTTTATTGTAAATTTTCGACGCTGGCACAGCAGGTCGGCTTCGGATGGGAGGAAATTGTGTGAAGAGCAGTTTATACGAAATAATATGAATGTTGCAGATTTGAATAATCCGTTTGAGGCAATTATAGGCCAGTCAGTGCAGATGTTTGGTCTCCAAGTGTCTCTGGAATCTAACTCTTCTAGCCTGATTTAGGCTCATATTAGCCTAAAGCAAGATCGCAAAGCAATGCGTAACTGCAAATAGTTTAACTATCCAACGTTACAACGGAAGCCATTTAAAAAGCTGTAGATATTATTGATACGGTGGCGAGTATTTTCCCGGCAATTCGGTCTTTGTAGATGGCATACTGTCCATTAGTGCAGTAAGAATGGTAAATTTAATCTTTCCCTCAATGTTGTAATTAATCGTACTAGCAGCCTAGGTACTAGCTTAAAGGCCCAGACAGCATCCGGCTCAGCCGGTATTCTGCCGCTGCTTGACAGAGCTGCGAGGGGTCCGGCTCATCAGTGGGTCCCCCAGCTTTCCCTATCTGTTTTCTGGTTGATATACCGGTTTTGAACTTTCAGCATTTTAATCTCCTGCAAAATTAATTTCCGTTCGCAGTATACTTCAGTATATTTAAGGTCTATAGGTGAAGACCGAAATTGTAAGTGTATATTTGTGTTGAAACCCGTCAACCACTGTGAAATATGCACTTGCGGCCAGCGAACAGGATTTACGTCGTATATATTGGTGTTGCAACTTATCATACTAACAGCCTAGGGACTAGCTTAATGGCCCAGAAACTTACAATTTCGGCCTACGCCTAAAGACCTTAGATATACTGATGTATACCGCGAACAGAATTAATTTCTTTGAAAATCAAAAAGCTGACCTTACTCTCAATATTCACTACAAGCATGCTAAATTAATAAAACTGGAAGGAAGGCATACTCTCAAGCCTTACATCCATCTGGAAAAAGGGAATTGGTGATCTAATATTTCTCGTTTTCAAACATTTTTTCCAGCTCTTTAAACTTGCATAATCTCTTCGCTCAAAACATCTAAGTAGAAAGAATGATGTAATATATTTCTGGGTTATTTTTTGAAGCTTTGGAGAATTACTCTCAAAGGTAATTTGTTGCTTCCTCGAGTCCGGCCGTCTGCGCCGTGTGGTAAGTGCCACGCGAATTTACTATCACTTAAAAATAACACACTCATTTTTCCTCATTAGTGTAATAGCTGTCTGTGAAGCACACGGCGAACTGAGTGGAAATCGAAGTTCAAATTGTTATTGAATTTTCCCTTGAACCTCTACCAACACTTTTATTCTATTTGTGTAAACCTTATTTTAACTGATAAGGCTGTATCCGATTTAAATCTGGGCGCCTTCCTTAAGCAATAATGCAACAAAAACGGAACACAGGATGCATGATTTGTTTCATAGCACATCCTTGACCAAAACGATAACTTAACCGATCATCGAGTACCA